AGACGCCAACGACGATAAGCTTTTACGAGGTCAGCAATGAGAATTTCGGAAGAAGAAATGTCACGGGAAGAGTGCTGGCCATTAGGAGAGTATCTTGATTGAACTTTTGGGAAAGCGACGCACTGGTAGGAAAAGTTAGACAAGTAATATAAAGAATCAGAAAACTTACGGCCACAATCCACCAAGAAGGCTCTTCAATTTTCTTTAAAACTATGCGAGATTTGCCGGTTTCCATACCAGAGACTGGTTGATTTTGTGCAAAGCCTCTAAACATAAAGTGTTAGTGATTGAAAGGCTGCTGTTGAAAAATACAGGCATACTTTGAAAACTCTACAACACCTTGAGCCAGACCCATAAAACGAAGCTGTTGTTCTATTGGGACTGGGGAAACATCGTCATCAGGGCCTCCGTGAAAAAAGACAATTTGGTCGGCCAAACATTTTTCATTTGGATCGAGAGCTGGATTGTAGATACAAACGTAAGATAGTTGGCCCAGCGGGGGTTGGACGAGCATTATATGGGAGATTTAGTGGAAGTTGTTGGGAAAAGCAAAGACAAGAACAGCAAATAGCTAGGTCTACTAATATTTGAGCCGCGCAGTAGCTATAGGTCTTGCGGATATATGAGAACGGAGTATGAGCATTATTAAAAAAAAAAAGTTTCACCACCACAAAATCAGAATGAGATTTGTTGTCTTCTGCCACCATCTACAATTATACTTAGTACTCTACTAAACACGCCAAAAAAAACAACAAAAACAACAGCAAAAACTCTACAACCATGGTTTTAGCAGATCTTGGGCGCCGAATTAATGGTGCCATTAGCGATCTCACATCGTCGAATGTTGTGGACGATGCTGCGCTGGACGCGCTTCTTAAAGAGGTTGCGCTGGCGCTGCTGGAGTCCGATGTTAATGTGCACCTGGTCAACAAGCTGCGCAACAACGTCAAGGCTAAGGTGAACTTGGGAGATGAAACACCTGGTGTGAATAAAAAGCGTGTAATTCAAAAGGCATTGTTTGACGAGCTGACGGCGCTTGTGGACGGACAGCAACAACAAGAGCCGTTTCGTCCCAAGAAGGGTCGATCCAATGTGATTATGTTTGTTGGTCTTCAAGGTGCCGGTAAGACAACGACGTGTACGAAGCTGGCGTCGTACTACCACCGCCGTGGATTCAAGACAGGTCTTGTTTGTGCAGATACATTCCGTGCTGGTGCGTTTGACCAGCTTAAGCAGAATGCTACCAAGGCCAAGATTCCATACTATGGTTCTTACACGGAGATGGATCCAGTTAAGGTGTCTAAGGAGGGTGTGGACAAGTTTAAGAAAGAAAAATTTGAGGTCATTATTGTGGATACATCTGGTCGACATCGTCAAGAGGACGCATTGTTCCAGGAGATGGTTGAGATCGGACAGGCTGTAAAACCCAATCAAACCATTATGGTGCTCGATGCGTCGATTGGTCAGGCTGCGGAGGCGCAGAGTAAGGCATTTAAAGAGTCTTCTAATTTCGGTGCTATAATATTGACCAAGATGGACGGACACGCTAAGGGAGGTGGTGCGATTTCTGCGGTAGCTGCGACCAAGACTCCGATTGTGTTTATTGGTACCGGTGAGCACATTAATGATCTGGAACCGTTTTCCCCAACGTCATTTATTTCGCAGCTGCTGGGAATTGGCGATTTGGCTGGCCTAGTTGACCATGTGAAGGGTTTACAGCTTGACAATAAAAGCACAATGAAGAACCTGCAGCAGGGTATTTTTACTCTGCGAGATTTGCGGGATCAAATGAGTAACTTGACCAAGATGGGGCCTCTGAGCAAGATTGCTGGTATGATGCCTGGCATGGGTCAGCTGGCGTCGTCGCTTGGTGAAAATGAATCTGCAGATCGTGTCAAGGCGATTGTGTGTGTATTGGACTCGATGACACCCAAGGAACTTGACAGTGATGGCAAGATTTTCAAGGATCAGCCATCGCGAGTGCTGCGAGTAGCGCGTGGCAGTGGACGAAGCGTGAGGGAGGTTGAGGAAGTTCTTCAGCAACAACAAATGATGGCCAAGATGGCCAAGAACTTTGGAGGAAAGAACGGTCTACTGAACAGTATGGGTAATCCTGCCGCGATGCGCAATAATCCGCAGTTTGCAGCTGCTCAGCGACGCATGGCACAGATGATGGGTGGTGCAGGAGGAGCTGGTGGAGCTGGTGGTCTTCCTGGCATGGGTGGAGCTGGTGGCATGCCTGATTTGGGCGCGCTTGCTCAGATGATGGGTGGTGGCCAGGGCGGAATGCCGGACATGTCTGCGATGATGAACAACCCCGCAGTGCAAAAGATGATGCGACAATTTGGAATGTAAATAAAAAAGTGATTAATATTTTTGAAATATGATGAAAAAAAAAAAAGAAATTAAGAACTGAATCCTTTCTACATTTATTGTGAATAATTTGTGTCCAATATTGGAAATAATGGTGGAGGCTTTTTGTATGCAATGAGTAACCAATCGTCCGGTTGTTCAAATAAGGTCTTGCCCCTGTGTAGAAAAAAAAATTCAAAACCTCCTTGACAAAAACCTTTTGGTCCTGCCATTTAAGTTTCTATATTTTTTTTGTTACTTCCTAACTCTTAAACACCTCTCCAACTTTCTTTCAAAGAGAATCCTTATATATATAAATATATACATACATATATATTTATTTTTTTTCTTCCTCTCTCTCTCTAGTCAACACCTAGCAGCCTTCCCCTGATGAACACTATGACTACCATCCCGGAGGCTAGCCCGCTGTGGGGCTCGTCGGTGTCGATGCGAGACGCGCAACACCGAGCGCGAATGCTGCGGTCCAGGTCATTAGGTACGCCTGGTGGCAATGGAGGGCTGTATGAGCACCATCAGGCCATTGCACTTTCACAGTCGCACTCTGCTTCGTCTCTATCAACACTACGATCATCGGGACAATCGTCAGGACAATCTTCTGCGGCTTCTTTGTCGCCCCCATTGTCGTCAGCTGCATCCATGTCGTCGTCGGCCAGCTCAGCAACTACAAGCGCATCTCCTCAACCGAAAACTCAAGAGTTGGCAAGCTCGTCAAGCACTCTCACAATGGAAGCCGCTACTACCCTGGAGGCCAACGTAACAGCACCATCATCAACCGAAGATTCTAATGCGCGGGTCGCAGAAGAGCGGATTCTACATTTACGGAACGAGATTGGTAAGTTTTTTGTGTTTATTTAAGGTTAAAGGATCTGTTTTTATTTATTTTATTTATTTTATTTATTTTTATTTTTCATTATTATTTTCTGGAGCGCTCAAAAAACTCTCCAGACTTTATGCAAAAATGTCTAACACTGATCTTACCAAACAGCCCGCAAATCCGCTTCGATTCTCCAGCTCCAACAACTCGCTCGAGAGCTTCCACGACTTGTAACCCCTGGACCCGAGCATGCGGCGTCGCCCACAACAAGCCCGGAAGGTCCTGTCCAAAACGGCTTGCCAGGTGCAGCCCCTCGTCCTAAGTCCCGGCCATATTCAGCACGACCAGCGTCCTTTTGCATTCCCACGTCTCACTCGCTTCCATCTATTCATGCACAACCTGCTGAGATCCCAATTGAGCCAGTTGCGTGGACAGATCCCACTGTTGCGCAAGAAGACCTGGCACATTCCGAGATAATGGTCCGTCAAAAACAACAGCAACAGCAACAGCAACATCAACATCAAGAGCAACAGCAATTGGAAACCACCGTGGTAGAACCCAGTACCGTGACTTCCATGTCTGCTTTGGTGATCCCTCTGCCAGCAGCAGAAGATAGTGGCAACAGTAGTGGCAATGAGTCTGTGGGCTCCAATACTTCAATGGCCTCGTCCTCATCCTCCACAGCCTCTGCAACGGCAGCCCCGCGTCACCGTCGGTATAACCGGTACAACAGCCGGCGGTCGTCGTCATATTTTGAACAACAACAGTTACAGTATCAGCATCAGCATCAGCATCAGCAAATGCACATCTTTGATGAGGACGGACGGATGCCGTTATCGGCGCCCGTCCCTGTGGCGTCCTCATCTCTAGCAGCGGCCCACCTTCTCCGCCAGCCCACACCTCCACCTCCACAGCAGCAATTTCAGCAACACCAACACCAAACAAGACAGCGGCCGTTGTCTCTGCAACCGCACCATTTTTCTTCTTCCTCCGTTCCCAGCATTCCTATTTCACAAAGTCCTGTCACTACCACCACTCAAGTTCCGTCGTCCGTTGCTTTCGGGTCCCAGCACCAGTATCAGTACCAGCATCAACAATATCAACATTATCCCACTCATCCTAATAATAACCTAACCAATAGCAATAACAACAACAGCAATAGCAATAGCAATAGCAACAACAACAACAATAACAATAACAATAACAATAACACATACTCATTTTCTATCCCGCAACTCACAAACCGATCTTCTCGTGTCTTGATAAGCCCGGCACCATCGCCTACACTCGTGCAAACGCTCAACTACAATAGCCTCAACATGGCCACTGCATCATCTACTCCAGGAAGAGCTCAGACAAGTAGCCCCAATTCATACCAGCAAGTAGCCGCTAATGCCAATGTGGCACAATCACCATATCATGTCCATCTTTCCAGTCACAATCACAATCATCACCACCGACTCAGCTCTGCCAGTACATTATCCCAAGCATCATCGCCTGTGTCGTCAATGTCTACTGATGGGCCCACCTCAAACGCAGGCTCTGTCTCAACCCAGTATCTACACATGAAAACACCTTCTACCTATGAAACACATCCATCTCGGGCCAACTGGAAAACTACATCTCATGTGATTGAGTCGCTACAGTGCACAATCGACTCACTACGGCGTGAACTGGCCGAGCAGCAAGCTCGAGTTGAGGAGGAGCGTCAGATCAAAGAGGCTGTTAAGAAGAAGGTGATTCAGCTTGAGTCGCAAATGGATGGGTTCCGACATCAGGCTGAAACGCTGAGTGCAATGTTGCAACGCAAGGAACGCCGAACAAAGGAACTGGAGTTACAGGTCGAGCATTTCCGCATGGCTGCAGGTCGTGCCGATTCGGAACGACGTGCGCGCGAAGAGGCCGAGGCCAAGCATGCTGTCGAAATAGCTCAAGTTGCAGCTGAACGTGAGCAAGCGCAAGTCATGTATCAAGCACTGGGTGACAGCGTCAAACGCAACAAGGAGCTCTACGAAGATAAGCTTGCGCGTGTGAGTGAGCAGCTTCGTGAACTATGTGGAGACCAGGAATCTTCTTCATTGCAAACGGCAGCTCAAGTCAAGGACTACATTGCAGAGCTGCGCAAAAAGAAGACTGAAGAGGCTGTACGGATCACGGCGCTCAAGAAGGAAATTGCGGAACAGCGGCGTGCTCATGCTCAAGAAGTTAGAGAAGTACTTGCAGTTGCACAAACCACAGCAGAAGAAGCGGAGGCTCGACTTAAAGAGAATATAAAGGAAACACTTGCTTTAGTTAAGAGCTTGAAACTTCAGCAGCTTCAACAACAGCAGCTTCAGCCACAACAAACAGCATAACCAAGAACTTTAATGGTTAATAATTGAACAAAAGAACACCTCGTACATGATTATTTTTATCAATATAAAGAGTAAATGCCTATTCGACCATCTTTACCGGCCACCGCAAGGTAATGTGAGTTGCTTTTAGAAAGTCTTTGTACCAAAGACAATGAGGATTGTGGCTCCATTGTTGTTTCAATAGGCCCAAATGCCACAGCCGTAATTCCACCGTTTTGACGTCCGCCGGGAAATGATGCCAACGGTTTTAGTAGTTTTTGTTTAGTTGTATTATTTTGTAAGACAAGTAATTCTTCTTTATCATCTTGACGTAATAATAGCTCAAACACTCGTACAAGCCCGTCCCACCCAGCCGTGGCCAAAAGTTTCCCATCGCTACGTATAACTGCTGATGCAGTTCCTGGGGCGCTCAATCTTACAACGTTGAAGGGGAAAAGGTTTTGAGATGGTGGGACTAAAGTCAATGCAATACGAGCATCTGCAGCAGTGGAATAAACTTGAGCTGGGAGGTGTTTCTGATCAAGACTCTGTGGTCTTAAAGCCAAAGCCAGAACTGGCTGAGTGTGTAGCTGTTTGCATTCCAATAACTTCCATGGTAGTTGTTGTTGACTGTCTGGAGAAGAGCCTCCAACATTGTTTATTATAAAAGTAGCCGTGTGGCCACTCTCATATCCGGCAACGAGATAAATTTGAGATGGTTTGTCTACCAAACACAAACTCATCACGATTCCAGCCCCGTTTTGGCGGGGACCTTCAGTAATTGGATTCTCATCTTGCTCAAATTTAGGGATCTTGGAAACAACTTCAGGCCCGGGGATGGCCGCAGCCGGCCGTGCCAATTCAAACCCGGGCACGCGCAAAGTATAAACGTCCACGTTTTCAGAGGCTGTAGTTCCAGGTACCGCCAACACAACCGTTGCAGTAGTTTCAGACTCTGAATCTTGCTGGATAATAGCGACAGAAAATCCACAGTAATTGAGTGCATTTACGGGGACCGTGTACACTTTTTCCAAAGGGTCCAATTCGGCAATCTCGCGATCAAGCGTGACAGCCGAGGGAGGACCGTTTGCTCCCAAACTGCGCGCACCAATCCTGCGTGCCATTACAATCCGCGCCAGCGCAGGGCCTGCGTTGTACACGTGCACGCAATGGTCGCGCCCGTGCGTTAACAGATATGTTTGTGGATGTTCATTTTTGCTTGCGATCGTAACAAACTCGACCTTGACGATGGCCGCAGAATGGGCACGGAACATGCTTACGGGCCGACGCGCAACTACATCCCATACAAACACACCACCAGACTCATCTGCAGATGCGAGCACAGGGGGAGTCACGCCGGATGCAAACGCAGCGGCTGTTACGGGTGCCGGATGTGCACGCAGAGTAAAGTCCGGGAGCACGCCTGAAGTTGGGATTTGATCCGCAGGCATAGCGGTATTAGAGAAGTCAAAGGTGTTTTTTTTTTATTTAAGAGATAGAAAGGAAAGGAAGTTTGGAGAGCCGCTTGGGATGGCTGGTTTACCACAAATTCTGGCTGCTTGTTGAAAAGCCAATAATCGTCTTCTCCGCACTTTTTTTTTTGTTTTTTTTTTTTTCTCCTAACAAAACTTTTTTTTATTTTTATTTATCTTGTTAGATTTCTCATCATCATCCCATTTTTGATTGCCTTAATATAAATAAATCTTCTTATCAGAAAATGCTCCGTCTAGCAAATTCCACTTCCCGGCAAACTTATCGAAGCATTGTCCCGACCTTGTGTGCTTGTTCGTCACTGGTCTCTGCGCCGACCCTGGGACCGAGTACTGTTGCTGCTACTGCCTCTGGGAGCAACTACTGCGGCAGCCGTTATTACACAAACAAAGTTACAAGTCATGCGCGTGCCCCGCCACTCTGCTCAAATACTCGCCGCCCTCGTTGCTCTTCTTCTTCCTTTTTGTTTTATTCTCTCCACAACAATCCCAATTCAAACAATTTCCCACGTAAAACCCTCCCAATTGCTCAGAAAATGCCTCTCATCACCATTAAAGCCACTATCAAGGACTCCCTCACTAAGCATGAAGTCTTTCCAGATGGTAAGTATTGTAGTCAATTGTGCTTTGTGAAGTTTACTTGCTAACTTTTGTATAGTTCTCGAAGAGTTTACACCTTCTGGGTAAGTCATCATAACTAAAGTCCAATTGTCTATAAAATCTAACAATTTTTTACTAGATTGATCACCGTTTCCTACGGTAATAATCTTGAGGTTGCTCTTGGAAACACTCTCAAGCCCTCCGAAACTCAAGAGCTTCCAGACCTCCACATCACCTTCAATGCTGAGGGTGCTGCCACCCCAACCATTCTGTCTGCTGGGGCTCCAGAGTCTGCCAATTCTGAGCCTACTTTTACTCTCGTCATGACTGACCCTGATGCTCCCTCCCGCACAGACAAGTCTTTCTCTGAATACCTCCATTACTTGGTCACTGGGCTCCGTCTCAAGTCTCCCTCTGCCGAAGATCCCACTGCTGACATTGCCTCTCGCCTGGAAGTTGAAAAGGGTAACACTCTTGTCCCTTATATGGGTCCTGGACCCCCACCTAAGACTGGCAAGCACCGCTACGTCTTTGTTTTGCTCCGTGAGACCAAGGGCTCCCCCCAGAAGTTTGACGGTGAACGTGCTCGATGGGGTACCGAGATTAACGGCTATGGTCTTAAGGAGTATGCTGAAAAGAACGGTCTTGTTCCTGTTGCCATTAACTTCTACTATGCTCAGAACGATGTCCAGTAAATGATTATTTACAACAAACAAATTTGTAGAAATTTCTAATAGCAACATAATTTTTTTTTTTAATTTATTAGCAACTGTATCAATTGAAGTCTTTTTTTTTGGGATCTCTGCTTAAGATTGCGTTTTTTTTTTTAAACGCTATTGTTGCTTGTGTTGGACACAGATTGCGGGTACGTGCACGCATAAAAAATCTTGAGCACCTGTGGGGGGGTTTAAACACAAAGCGTGGAGAAACCCGCCCATTAAAAAAAAAATAAAATAAAATAAAAAAAGAGTTCGGAAGTTACGTCAGACCTCGGATAAAGACCGAAAATCATATCCTAAGATCTGGGCTTTGAAGAGAACCTTTAAGTGACTATGGCTCAGTCAAGAATCAACTAATGACCGCTCCAAACAAAGCAAATTAACAAGAGACTTTTGTTGAGTCAAAAAAAAGGTCTCATGTGGAAATGGTCAAACCAAACCCTACCCCTACTATACAAATCTCACGCCATTAAACTTTTGTATACTTTGGTCCTTATCATCTTCCAAAATTAAAACAGCCAATATATCATGGACAATTAGAAAGACCTCACGAACAAATTTTAAAAGTTCTCAAAACACACACATCACAATGTTCCCATAAATAATGAAGTACATTATGTCTTACAAGTTAACTCCCAATCTACGAAATAATCATTTTCCAAGGACTAGTCCCACATAAACTAGGAGCCTAACCCCTCAAGTCAACCAATCTGGACCTATCTGTGACAAATATTCGAAACAAAAATTATTCAGGTGAAGATGAGTTTTTTTCACTCTGCATACTTTAGCAAATGTCTTCAAAATAAAGATCCTTCAATTGTTCTGCAACTTCTCCACTATCATAATCACAAGTCTAATTATATAAATATAAGCAACCGAACATGAAATGATGAAGATCTATAGTTACTTGATTCAAATTAAGGATCAATTATATGAACTAAAGGATCAATTATATAAACTAAAAAAAAAATCACTAAATCATGGTCAAATTGAAACTTTTTTCTTTAACTTGTTTCAATATAACTCATTTTACACAAAAGGTTTACAAAGAGGCGGATTATAAAAGAAAATGGATTCAATTGGTTTTAAAGTCATTATTTTGACTACAGTTTTCATTTACATCACATTCAATATTCAGTTAAATTGTTATTTTGTTTGTTTTTATTCAAACTTTATAGATATGTTTGTTTGTTTTTATTCAAGGGTTATAGAATTATATAACATCAGCATCTGCGCTATCCTTCTTGTCCATACTATATATCTTTTCATTTTAATAATAAAATTTTAATTTTGCCTTCAACATTGCATCTTTAACAGCCCGAAAATAAGTCCTGATGCCAGCTTACGAGGAATAGGGGGTTAAAAATAACCAAACCTTCCCAACTTATCTCCACTTGTCTTCATCAACGCTGTAATTGTATTTCTTAATCCCTCCAAGCAGAGATAAGGCTTACAATCTCTTGTAAGCCAGTTAAACTGTTTAAGAGAGTCGACATGTCCATCTCTGGATATATCCGTTTCAGTCCTTTTCTTTCCTCTTCAAGCAAAGGACACTCAACCAGAATGTGATGAACTGTTTCCAACTCTCGACATTTGCAGTTGTAACTATCCTTGTCAATTCCAAACTTTTTAAACCTTGCGCCAAAGTTGTCATGGCCTGTACGAAACTGAGTAATATTACTCAAGATCCTTCGACTATCTTTCTTCATGATCACTCCCGTGACCATTTTGGAAAGATTATCATCAAATTTCGACTCCACTGTGATATTATGATACCACAGATCCTTAACACTATTTTAATTTCAATTAAAAAATTGTTTGTTTGTTTGTTTGTTTTTATTCAAGGGTTATAGAACTATATAACATCAGCATCTGCGCTATCCTTTTATTGTCTGACTATGTGACTTGCCGGTTTTCATTTGTACCTTTTTAGTACGGGTGGTTTCTGTTCTGTGCGTCTCCGGTAGCCCGGAAGATGGGCCCTGATGCCAGCTTACGAGGAACAGGGAGAACCAGTCTGTCGATCCCAAAACCTTCCCAACCCATTTCCACTTATCTTCACGGACGCCCATGTATTTCTTAATCTCTTCCGTCAGAGATACGGCCCGTAATCACCTGCAGGCTATTTAGACTGTACGGAAGAGTCGGCATTCCTGTAACCAGGGTAGCCTATGGTTTTCAGTCTAGGTGTATACTCCCGTACACATCTTCAGGAAAAGGGGGTATTCTGGGAATCGAACCCAGTATCTTCCGCTTTCGAGCAAACGTGTTACCCTTTACACCATCCAGCCCTTTCCCCTCAAACAAACAAACAAACAAAACTTTTTAGTGGTTATTACAATGATGTCCTTTAATACGCAATTAAAAATACTTTTTAACATAGCTTGGCGTTAGTGGTTTAGCGGTAAAATTCGTCGTTGCCATCGACGAGCCCCCGGTTCGACTCCGGGCTGACGCATGTCAAAATATTTTTTTATTTTTAATGTTTTGTAAATGTTTTAGTTTTTATAGAACGTTTACAGTAATGTATTTCTTTTTAATTAAGAATATTTCAGTTTTTAAAATATTGTTCTTTAACATCATGATATAAACCAATGATATTAATACAAAAAAGTAAAAGTTTTTTGTTAATTAGGCTAACTAGTTTAATTTTGAAATTACCCTAACCCTTGTGTAATAGTAATAGTTATGCATATTTATTCACCTAACTACAGTCAATATTTTTTAAAGTTTAAAGTTTAAAAACCTTAAATCAAAGTTTAAATCTATTACTACTACCGCCTCTAAAAAATTTGTATCTTGAAACTTCAAAATTAAACCTTTTTCACCAACAAAAAATTATCAATGAGAAAGAAACACTCTTAAAAATATGGTTTAGCAGGGTTAGGGGTTAATATATAATGGTTTTTTTTTAATTTAAAATTATTTACAAAAAAGATTGGTCCTCTGTTAGTGCTGACAATAACATTTCTTTTAAAAATTATTGACTTGCTGTGCTCACATTTAGACAGGCATGGATGAAATTGGTAGAAGAAAAATACATGGGGCTGGGAGAGCTTACATAAAAATGGTTAGTCATCTTGTAGTAAGAAACTAATATTTTTTTTGCTATTTGCAAAAGAGAATAAATGGGAGTTTTACGCAAGGGCTAGGGGAACATACATAAATGAATAAAAGATTTGTCATCTTGTAGTAAGAAGCTAATGTTTTTTTTTGCTATTTGCAAAAGAGAATAAATGGGAGTTTCCGCAAGGGTTAGGTTCTCTCAATGACTAGGGAATAGAAAAATAAACCAGAGTCGAAACTTAATTTCTTATGAATGATAATAATAAAAAATGAAACATGTAACGAGGTCCTAGTAAAGAGTCACTGTAATCTAATTGTTTACCTATTGAAAAGATTTAAACCATTGAATTTAAATAGTCAAAAAAAAAAAATTCGCTTTAGTGTAAGAAATAAGTATTTAATATCAACTAAATACATTGTAGATGTCGAACAAACAATGCTTACAAACTTGTTCGTGATTTTAAGTTTTCTAATATTCACCACAACACATTTAAAAAATATCAACATTCCGGATAAGAAAAAATTGATAAAAATATTAAAAAAAAAAAAACAATGAAAAATTGCATCTATTGAATAAAAAGAAAAAGATAATGCGAATTCTGTGGATCGAACACAGGACCTCCAGATAAACTAGACTGATGTTGTAACTTCAGTCTGGCGCTCTCCCAACTGAGCTAAATCCGCAAGCTTTGTTAAAAAAATTAAAAGAAAAATCAATAGTACATTCTTGATAAAAAATCATCACTTTTTTTAGTATAGAGCGTTTGAAAAACAGCGTTGATGAAGACAAGTGGAGATAGGTTGGGAAGGTTTGGTTATTTTAACCCCCTGTTCCTCGTAAGCTGGCATCAGGACTTATTTTCGGGCTGTTGGAGATGCAATGTTGAAGCCAAAATTAAAAGTTTATTATCAAAATGAAAAAATATATAGTATGGACAAGAAGGATAGCGCAGATGCTGATGTTATATAATTCTATAACCCTTGAATAAAAACAAACAAACAAACATTGAAACTTATTTCTATAATTTAAAATAATAAAGATAGTGACTTAATTTTTAGACATTTTTCTTTTTTTGAGGCAGTGTACGAGAGCACACAACTCCCTGAAATTCCCGAGCCACCCTGGCGAGCAAGAAACTAGCTCTTTAGTTCATTCTAATTATACTCTATATGATTGCAGTCCATATTCTTGTTGAAAGAGCTTAATTAATAATTGGGAGTCTTTGAATATAAGTAGAAATGGGTTGAATAGGTTTGGGACCAACAAAGTGAGTTTCTTAGTTCCTTATATGCAGGAATTAGGGCATATTTTCAGGGCTACTGGAGGCACACTGATCAAAATAACCCGTACTGAAAAGGTACATATATTAGACGACAAGTCGCTAAAGTTGTTAATTATAAAGATAGCATAAACGTTAATGTCATATTTTAATACTTTAAAAAAAATTAAAATTGAATAAAAAAAACTTCGATTTAAAGATTTTAAACACAATTTTAGTCAACTAACTATTAGTGGGCCAACTAAGAATAATGCAAATTTTAAAGTTTTTGTAAGTTGGGGGCCTAGGCCCGCTAATCTAAGATTTGAAACCCGGTTAAATGAGAGGGAAAAGCATTATTTTTATTATTAATTTAAGACTATTTTGCAAATGAAAAAAAAATTTTTTTTTTTTTCATTTTAATATGCAAATGCATGTATAGGAATGTTATATTAATAATTACAAAAGATTTTTTTTTTCATTTTAAAAAAAATTGTTCAAATTTTCATTGTTTTCATGAATTTGATATTCTTCAGTCACTTCTGCACTTGTCCAAGGTTTATACGAAGTTTGGGAAGGGTTTGATGGAAGATAAGGATTACTTCCGATTGCTATAAAACTGTTTGCATTTGAGAGTGGACGATCATTGCTTGAATAAAACGGTTGACTGTGAGTGTACATGCATATATTGTTTTTTTCTGACTCCAACGAAGTAGAACTGCTGTTATTACTTGAATTGTCGGTAGTCATATCATTGCTATGAAGAGTTAAATCAGTCACTGAGCTTTGTAGTGATTCAGGGATGTATGTTACTGTTACTAGTTGCCCACTGCTTTTATTATTATTTAAAGTTTCTTGTTGGAATTGTTCTTTTTGATCTTTTTTGTTTGGCATATTTAGACTTTGATCGCAGCCAGGGTCCAAAATATTCAAAAAGCCAAGGAACCGGAACAAGAATGAAAGCAATGCCGCCGAAAATCGTAGAACTCCAGGCAATACCAAGCGCTTTGTACATTCGAATAGTAAATAGAGGGAACCCTGAGGCAACCAGATAGCGGAAAATGTTATTAGCTGCAAACACTGATGCCAGCATCTCAGCATCATTGTTATAAATAAACTCAATGTACACAATGAGACTGAAAAAAATAAAAATTAAACTTATACCAAAAGGAATACCGGCAGCTAATGGTACCAACCAGTGAAGCTTGTATTGAGCAGTCCAGCCTTGCCAGAAGAGAGAGATTGGGAGAAGTATGGATCCTATTTTGCAAATTACTAATACTTGTTCTGGGGAGATTGGAATGTCGAATTCAGGTATTCCAGGAACACTGGAGGCACTGTATTGGTTAATTTTTTCTTGTGAGCTCATGGTGGCCAATTTTTCTTGTTTCTGCTTCTTGAAGAGTTTTTGAAGATAAAATCTGTCTGCAAGAATAAAAAAAATGCCAGCAATGATGAGACCAACAGCAATACCCAGGAAAGCTAACCCGCATTGACCCAGAGAGAATTTATATTTGCCAACAAAGATGTAGGTGTAGGATTCTAAAAAGGCAAAAAGAATGGAAAATACAAAAGAAGTGTAGATAGATGAGATGAGAATAATAGGTTCCACAAACAAGAGTTTTATGGGGAAAAAGACTGTGTATTTCAAAGATTTTTGGGTTTGATGAAAGATTCTCGAAATTTTGCAAGTTTGAGAAACACATGTTGTTTGGCCGTCAAAAGTGTCAATGGTATTATTTTCATTTTTGTTTTCTAAAATTCGTTTCTTTTCCTTTTCACGTTTTTTTTCTCTGTTTTTTAAAATAACTGGTTTGAAGGTTTCTGGCATAATGATGAGGAAGGGGATTGCGACACCAGCAAAAATAAGCTGTATGTAAAAGACCATGTTCCAACTAGTGTTGAAGTTTTGTAATGCATAACCTCCAATAATAGGACCAAGAATGGGTCCTGCCAAAGGAGCAATGCTGAAAATAGTCATGGCTGTGACTAGCATATCCAAGTCCCAAAGATCTGCAATAGTTCCAGCGGCAATGGCAAGAACAGGTGCACCAAATAATCCCGTAAAAAACCGACAAGCCAAGACTGTTTTCATATTATGGGCTTTTGCGGAACCCACCATAAAGAGCATGGATAATGGGACCATGGAAAGGTAAATGAGTTTGCGTCCAAAGCGTTCGGATAAAGGTGCACCAATGACGGGGGCTAGAGAGAGCCCAATAAGATAAAGTGTCATGCCCAGTAAAATTTTTTCTTGGGAGACTCCAAAGTGAAACATTAATTTGATAATAGCAGTGACATAAAGAGAGCATCCAAAGGACACTACCAGACAAAGATAGCTGGTTAATATGGTTACAAACCATTTTTTGAAGTTACTCCAGTTTTTGGGGTTCTGTGGGTCTGTAGGTGAGTCCCAGTCTAGAGGGGGGAGTGGTGGAAGATTTTCTTGGTGGAGGGAATTTGTTGAATAATTGTTGAAAAGAGCTAATTTAGATGTGCAATCTAAATTATACATGCTTTTAAGATTCATGCTATACGGCTTATCTGAGACATCATCTTGTTCGGCTTTTGAGAAATTTGATTTAATATAAGAGGAATTTCGATAAGGAGGTTGTAGAGATAGATTTGGGGTTTTGGGACATGGTGTCAGGCTTTGATGGTTAAGACGTGGGAGAGGTTTGAGTAGGTTAACGGAAGATCTCATTTTATGAGAAGATCTGTTATTGTCATTTTCTGGGGAAGATACATGACTTATTTTAGGAGTAGTAGGAGTTGATAGAGGAGATAAAATGGTGACTGGCTGGATATATTGTGAGTATCTTGAAAGATCTGAGCTTGGAATTGATTTGACTCTTGCTTTAGGGTTTAAAGGTAGAGATGATGGTAATGGAAAAGGTGCAAAAGAGTTTGAAGTCATTTTGAGTGAAGAGAAGAATGAAAAAAAAAGAAGGAATGAGGACAGTTAAATATACTTTATATATATAAATTTCAATAAAGAAAAAAAAGGGAAAATTTGTGACTATCGAATTTTAAATTGAATAGGTTTAATTTTGTGAATTAGCGAGCGGAACAGAGAATTAGAAACAGAAAAAAAAAAGATATTCCAAATAGGGAAGGTCCGAAATTTGATGGGTTTAAGTATAAATTTGAAAAAAAAAAAAAGGGGGGGGAAATGAATTGAATTCATTTTTTTTTTTAATTTCCAATAGTTCAGGCTAACCACTTGTAAAAAATTGGATATGAGAGAGTTATGTATAAATGAATACAAGGAATTATATTTTTTTTTCTTTAAAAATTTGAACTCGTCAAGTATTTAAATTATCCGGGAATTCTTTTTTTTTTTTTTCAGATAAAGAGTTATTGTTGGCTTTGACAGTTTTCTGCTCAAAAAGAGATATCTCAAGAGTTTGTAAAAATCACTGATTTGGTTTTATCCTAAAAAAAAATGCCAATATATTTTCTTTTTATTTTTTATTTTTTATATTTTTTTTTTTCAAATTAGTTAGTCCCAGAATTTGTCAATAATTGTCATTTAACAGGTGAAGTTAGTTATTGAATTTTAGATTGAATAACTTGTTGTATCATCATCATCACAACTTTGGAATGCCAAATATTGTGAGCGACCTCGGAACCAATTAAAGTAATAAGCGAGGCTGACTGATAATCAGTATCAGACAAAGATCTACAAAAAAAAAAAAAAAAAAAATATGCAGATATCATATTAATATTAAGGGTATTGATCTCTGTCAATTTTTTTTTTTTTTATCATCTTATACCATTCCGAAACATGACCTTTATTAGTGCCAGTTCTGTTTGTTGTCCAACCTGGGGGAGTGCCTAGTTTAAGGGTATTTGTAATACAGGTATGGCTCTGCTTAAAAGCAGACTTGTATTTTTTTTTTTATGTCTCAAAAGATTAAAAATTTTAAGTTTTTAAATGTTTATTTATTCAATTTTGAATTTGATGATTCTAGTTCTAGATTTCAAATAAATCTAAAGTTAATAAATTTATGGATGGTTCAATTTGACATAAAATGTTCAAAGGTCTTTTCGAAGGACTCGACAATCACAAGCCATTTAAATTTTTTTTTTTTTCTAATATCATTATAATTATTATTATTATATATAGGACTCACGTGCCATGATTCCAGAATATACCTTGCGCCGCACATGAGACCAAAATTTCCTAAAATAGTGCGCTATAAAAAAAAACCATGCCACCTAGACTAGTTGTTAGTAACACAGCGATTCCGTGCTTCTTATATAAGAGGGAATATAATTATATTATAATGGTGGTCTTTCGTTGTGTAAATTGTATGTGGGTGCAAGTCACTTAAAAAAAAAAAAAAATTATTTTCCTTCTTTCTTTTTCCTCAATCAAAATTTTTTTTTTTAATTATTATTTATTTATATATAAACCCCCTTCTCAAAATTCTTTAAATCTTTAATAAATATCCAGTTCTTTAATAACGACAACCATTGATAGCTTAAAAGGGGAAAAGATGAGTAGTGAGAACAGCAGTTCCAACAGTGAAAACAACCAGACAACTTTCTACGACACTCGGGAACCGAGCTCCGGGCCAAACCTAAGTGGTGCTTCGGAGGAGACAGAAAAGAGCAATGGAGTAGAGAAACAGCCGCAGGAACGCGGAGAAGACAGCTTGGCTGTGGCGGCTGCAACTGCAGCAGGTGTGGAAGCTGCGGCAGTAGTTTCAGCTGTGACTGGCAAAAACGAAGCATCTGTGCTATCAGAAGCTGGTTTGGAGGCAGTTACCGAAGATAACGTTAGTCCATTGGATGAGACAAGCGGTGTAAAGAAGAATAAGAGCAATAGTGAGGACAATAGCGCCAGTCCTAAGACTAAGTCTTTAAAAACAAGTCCCATGGTTAGCAGTGAGAACCTAACGTCTGGTGAGCCTAGGGGTTCATTTTCTAGCGTGAATACAACAAGGACGAATACCAATACTGGAGATACAACCAGCACCAGTACTAGTAGTAGTGTTTTACAGAGTCGCCGCAACAGTTTGTACCCTGGTGTTGGATTGCTAGCAGCGACAGGAGCAGATGAAGAAGGAGACCGACTGTATCAGACGATTGAGGAGCAACTTTCTGTGAATGGACGGACAGATGCCTTGACAGCGGCTGCGATAGCGGCTGGGAAAGATAGGGGTGTAGGTAGCAGCATCAGCAGCAGCAGCAGCAGCAGTAATAATAATGGGAATAGAAATCACAATAATAATGAACTGGGCGCTGGCGCTGGCGTTGGCAGCAGAAATGGGCGCATAGCTGAGGAGGATTTTGAGAAGCAGTTGGATCACACATTACAGCTTGCTCAAGAGCGGAGCAACAGTCCTGGGAGTGGAACTGGTCGAAGCACGCGAGGCAGCAGTGTTGCTACAGGGGCAAGTACGGAAACCAGTCACAATTACAATCACAATCACAATTACAATCACAATCACAATCATCATCACTACCATGGCAGTAGTCACAGGGGCAGTAGCAGCAGTGGAATATTAGAGAAGGCAGCAGTGAAGGTTGCGGCCGGAGAAGGACTTCCAACCGAGGCCGAGGAAGAGGAACATGTGAGTAGTGATAGGGATGTTACTACGAAAGATAAGGAAGAAAAGAGTGGTGAATATCTGGAAAGTGTTCAACCAGTTGAAACTTTGAAACAGGAAGACAAGAAGAGTTTAGGTGGGTCTGAGGGAGGTGAAGGGGTCAGTATTAGTGCTCATGTTGAGCAAGAAACACTTGTTGCATCGCCCGAGACATTGCCTGAGCCGTTATCTATGCCTGTGGATGAGGCTTTTGTGGGCAGTGGCAAAGTCAGTAGCACTACTAGCAGTGGCACCAAGACTGGACATTTTAGTCGGATCCGAAGCAAAAGTAATGCTGGAGAGGTGAAGCCTATGAAAACAAATGAAAGCATTGGCTGTAATGATGGGACCGGGTCCAATGACTGGGTATCGCGGTGTCGTGGACTGTGGCACCATGCGTGCAAAGTAATTTATGGTGGAGTTAAAGGCCATACAGGAGGTAAGGATTCTAGACACAGCAGCATTTCGGGACATGAATCATCATCTTCGTCGTTACCACCATCTTCTGCTTCAGAGTCGGTTTCGACACCAGCAGTCTCTACTGTGGTCCCACCATTGGTTTCACCATCGACCCCCTCCTCATCAGCCCCTCCAGCAGCACCTTCCTCATCCAGCTAAAATGCCTAAAGAGTTTGAGGGTTAGGTGTTTGTATGTGTGTGTGTGTGTGTGTGTGTGCCTTTTTTTTTTTTATTTTTTTTATTATTATTTTTAAAGATTGGGGTGAATTTGTTGGGTTCGGTTTAAGTTGGTTCAATTTGTTGTTTGTTTTACGGGACACGGCTCTTATATGAGCACCGGTACCCGAATGGATAATTTTTTTTTTTTTTTTTTGTTTTTGCAAGTCTTATCTTAAGGTGTATTTTTTTTTCTTTACATACAAAAACAAAAAAAAAAAAAAATATATATATATATATAAATATATATATAAATATATATTTAATAATTGATAAAAAAAATACCGATAGAAGAAATGACTTTTGTGGCTTTCAGGGAGGGTCGGATTTTAAATTAAGGAGATGGGATAGGTTTGTTGTTGTTATTATATTGTTGTTGCATTTAGTGGATTTTAAGAGGATGATTATGTGTTTCTCATAGAAAATGCCACAAGAAGAGGCTATTGTTGGAGCGATTGATTGTTGCCCGGACAACGGAGAATGTCAAGGAGGGGTCAAGAAAGGATTTGTGTGTGTGATGTGTGTGATGTGTGTGAGTAGTTTCGTGAGGGACCAATATTTCCGTGTTTAACATATGACCCGCAAGCCTACAATATATATATATATATATATATATATATATCTTAAGTTGCTTATAGCAAACAAACAAACATTTGTGATCAATGCATTGAAATGAAGATATAAAACAATTCTTGCTTATTGCTAAGAAAATTAGCTTCAGTTGTTTTTGTATTGTTTGCTTTTTTTTTTTTTTTTTTTTTTTTTTTGTTCCTAAGCTTGATTTATTCCCACTTTGATGGCTGCAGCGGCGGGTCTTTTTATTTTTTATTTTTTATTTTTTATTTTATTTTAATTTTTTTTTTCTGGGCAACGCGTTTAAAAGACTCTCCCGGGTCCAAGCAGTCGTACACGTGATTCTATAACTCCGGCTAGTAATCAGAAAATTTTTTTTTTTCAGTTGAGAAACGAAAACTGTTGTAGATGTTTCTGCTGTTGTTGCTGTTGTTGCTGTTGTTGCTGTTGTTGTTATCAATTGAGACCATGTGGGAAGTTGGCGCGCGCTTAAACGTCCATCATTTGTTTGATTTTATCTTATAATTTCTATGATATGATGAATCCAGCGTTATCAAAAGTTTCAGTTAGTCTATGCGGAGTCTGTGTAGATTGTTTGTTCTGTGTGTGTATTGTATTTAAATAAATGTATTTGTGTATTTGTATAAGTGCCGGGTGTTTGGCCCCGATGACTCAGACGGAAATATTAAAAAAAAAACCCTTACTGGAGTTTTTATTTTTTTTTGATCTTCAACAATATTGTTAATTGTCAAAAATAAAAAAATAAATAAATAAATAATAAATTTATTCTTTAAAGATGGGATTTTGACACAAATTGTTTTTTTTTTGAAAATTTCTTTAACATTTTTTGGTATTTTTTTGAATCAACCAAATAAAAAAAAAAAAAAATAACCCACCGGGACTTCCGTACAGTCGGGTCGACCAGTTGTCTGTCTTAAAAAAAAAAAAATCCTTATTTTGTGTGTGTGTGTGTGTGTATGCACAAGGGAAGTAGGTAGCCGATATATGTTTTCTCGGATTAACTTTTTGACATGCGGCAGCAAAAAATAAAAATTTTTAAAATTTTTAAAATTTTTTTTTTGTTTTTTATTTTTTATTTTTAAAATTTTTTTTTTTTATGCCTAATTTTCCTGTTTCGTCATTTTGGTCAGCAATAATCCAAAAGCAAGAGCAAAACAAATGCCACACATATAAATACCTGCCTGTTTCTCCACTTGAATTTATTTTATTTTATTTTATTTTTTCTTTCATATAAAACTTTTTTTTTTTACATTTCAATATATACCCTTGTCAATCGGACTCACAGAGATCCAACCAATTCTTATATTTATATATCCATATATATATATCAATCAAGCAATCAATTAATATATATTAATATATCCTCATCATACCATCACTCAAAACTAAAAACTAAAAACTCTATACCTCTTCTTTCCTCCTATTCAATCACAAATGCCAGGCTCATCTTCATCATCATCCTCGGCTGCTAAAAGTACTGCTGCTGCCGCTGCCGCTGCTGCCGGTGCTCTCGTTCTTCAAAAACAACAAATTACAACTATGGTCTCAACTCCACCAGTTGCCATCAAAAAGGAACAATACCCGTATGTTTCACAATACTAAACCCTCTCTCCCCACCACAACTAACCATCTCTCTCTCTCTCTTTTTCTAATATTAGATTCTGGTATGGAGGTCTCGCATCCATGGCTGCTGCTATGGTCACTCATCCTTTGGATCTCACAAAGGTCCGTCTCCAAACAGCAAAGGAACCAGGCCAACACCTCGTTGGCATGTTTATCTCTATCATTAGAAATGAAGGTTTCTTTGCCATTTACTCTGGTCTCTCAGCATCCCTTCTGCGTCAAGGTACTTACTCTACAACCCGATTCGGTGTCTACGAATACCTCAAAAAGGAAGCCTCCCATCTCTATTACGCAGGATCTGTTCCTGTTGGCCAAGAGTACCCAGCACCTCCTACATACATTCTTCTCCCACTTTCCATGATTGCAGGTGCCTGTGGCGGTTTAATTGGAAACCCTGCTGACATTGTCAACATTCGCATGCAAAACGATCGCTCTCTTCCCAAATCACAACAACGTAACTATCGTAATGCCATTGACGGCCTGATACGCATTGTTAGAGAAGATGCTGGGGGTTTCCGTGCTCTCTACACTGGTATCGGTCCCAATATCTCTCGTGGTGTGCTCATGACTGCCTCCCAAGTGGTTTCATATGATGAAGCAAAACGAGCTCTCGTCGCTCTTGGCCTCGATACTAAATCAAAAACAACCCATTTTGCAAGTTCTCTGCTTGCTGGTCTTGTGGCCACCACCATCTGTTCTCCCATCGATGTTGTTAAAACTCGCATCATGGAAGGTCATACCGCTTCCACGGGCTCTACAAAACCTTCAGCATTTTCCATTCTTAAAAACGCTGTCAAGACTGAAGGTGTTGGCTTTGCCTTTCGTGGATGGTTGCCTTCATTCATGCGCCTAGGCCCTCAAACAATTCTTACTTTTGTTGTCCTGGAACAACTCAAGCATGCTCGTTTAGGAATGGCTCCTGTCCCCGCTTCTTAAAACAAGATATGTAATCTCAAGAAAGAGGAGAGGGGCTGGTGGTTAATCCATTAGTCCTTTTATTCCCCACATCATTGCATTCACTTACACCAATACCCGTTTTCTGTTTGTGACTTGAAAAAAAAAAAAAAAAAAAATTTTTTTGACCACATGCCTCGCCCGGAATCTTACTACTCTTTACTACCATGACCCCCCAAATTCCCGAGAATTGATGAATCTTTTTTGTTGTTGTTTAACTTATTTAATGACTTGTGTGCTTTTATAATATATATATATATATATATATTATTTTGTATAAAAAAATAAAACAAAAATAAACTACCAACAATCCAAATGGCCAATGAAATATTTAGTTTCCCCACCTTTTTTTTTCTCCCCACCTTTTAAAAAAGGTATTTACCGTTAATACCCGCAAAACTTTGCTGTTACTAAACCTAAGGTTTGTAAGATCTCCACTAATTAGAATGTGTAAACGACATTACGAAAAGCTTAAAAATGTTTTTTTTATTTTATATAAACCTGATATATAATTATTTTTTTTTTCACTTTTTTTTTTCAATATTTCACTCATATATATATATATATATATTCTTTAAAAAAAAATTTTAAAATTTTAAAAAATAAAATAAAATAAAAATAAAGTACAAACTAACTTCTCATTCTTCTCACCTTACACATCCTCTTCATCCAAAGGATCAGGTACAATGTTCCAAATATCTCTGGCATAATCTTGAATGGCCCGATCCGAAGAGAAAAATCCCATATTGGCAACTGCTGTAATACTCTTAACAGCCCATGCACTCTTGTTCGCAAATGTCTCATCAATCTTATCATGGGCCTCCAAGTAGGATGCAAAGTCGTCCGACACCAAATAATGATCACCACCATACCCAACAATAGCAGTACTCAAATCCCCATAAATCGTGGGGTCTCCAAACACTCCAGAATCAATGGCCTCAAACACCTTAGCCAACTGAGGATCCAATACTGATCCTCCTGACCTGTGAATGTATCGCAGCCCTTCAATGTCTTTGGCCAAGTGTCCAAACAAAAAGATGTTGTCCTCGCCAACCTGATCTGTGATTTCAATGTTGGCACCGTCAACAGTTCCAATAATAAGACCACCATTCAGCACAAACTTCATGTTGGACGTACCAGAGGCTTCAGTACCAGCTGTCGAAATGTGCTCGGAAATATCAGATGCAGGAATAATAATTTCTGCCTTGGACACATTATAGTCTTCAATAAATACAACCTTAAGCTTCCCGTCAATTGAAGTATCATTGTTGACAACCTGGCTTACAGAGTTGATCAGCTTAATAACTGTCTTGGCCAAGTAATATCCAGGTGCAGCTTTTCCACCAAAAATGCTCACCCTTGGTTGTTCCTTGGCCAGCTCCTTAGGTGACAAAGACTTGAGTTTCAAATAACGCCAAATTACTGAAAAGATATTCATTTGCTGGCGCTTGTACTCGTGGATTCGCTTCACCTGAATGTCGAAAAGTGCATTCAAGTCAAGCTCAATTCCACTCTGTTCCTTAACCAATGCAGCCAACCGCGCCTTGTTAGCCAACTTAATGTCCATCCACTGCTTCTGGAACACAGGATCGTCCTTGTACTTGAGAAGACCTTTGAGCTGGTCAAGCTTGTTAAGATACCCGTACCCACCCAGCTTCTCAGCAATAAGTGCAGATAGGGCTGGGTTGGCCTGGTGCAACCAGCGGCGGGGAGTTACACCGTTAGTCACATTGATAAACTTATCTGACCCGTAAACCTTGACAAACTGGCTAAAGATCGTTTGCTTAATCAAATCCGAATGCAATTGTGCAACACCGTTAACCTTGTGGGACCCAATGATGGCAAGATAAGCCATGCGCACCTTTTGGTCGCCCTTCTCCTCGAAAATGGAAACATCACGACGAAGATCAACATCTCCGGGGAACTTGGCTCCAACAAACTGCAAAAAGCGATAGTTAATGTCATAGATAATGTCCAAATGGCGAGGAAGTAAATTCCCAAACAACCCCACAGACCACTTCTCCAAAGCCTCCGAAAGCACTGTATGGTTAGTGTAACTAAAAGTACTAGTAACAATATCCCAAGCTTCTTCCCACTTGAGACCCTCCAGATCAACCAAAATACGCTGGAGTTCAGGCACAGCCAACGTAGGGTGAGTGTCGTTAAGTTGGATGGCCACCTGGTTAGGGAACTCAACCCAAGGTCTCTGGGTCTTTTTGAAGCGTCGCACAATGTCAGATAGTGAAGCCGCCACCCAAAAGTACTGCTGCTTGAGACGCAGCTCCTTGCCTGAGGGGAAATTGTCATTGGGGTACAACACGGCTGAAATGGTCTCAGCCTCTTGCTGCTCATGCAAGGCCTCGTTATACGAGCCTTCGTTAAATTTGGCAAAGTCAAACTCACGGCTTGGTTCCGACGACCACAACCGAAGATTGTTGACATTTTCGGTCGCATACCCAGGCACCGGCAAGTCGTAAGCAACGGCCTGAACGACTTGGCCGCCTTCCCAAATCTTCTTTTCCTTGCCATCATCCGTTCTTGTTTTACGCACATACCCATAAAACATAACGTCAATTGCAATCTCCGTGCGGGGGATTTCCCACGGGTTGTTGAACGTCAACCAGTAGTCGGGCATTTCAACTTGATACCCATCCACAATCTTTTGCTTAAAGATACCATAGTTGTAGCGTAGACCGTAGCCCCAGCCCGGGTAATTGAGCGTTGTTAGCGAGTCAATAAAGCATGCAGCCAAACGCCCTAGACCGCCATTGCCAAGTGCTGCGTCTTTCTCCTGTTCGATAAGGTCTTCCAAGCGAAACCCGAAATCCTTGACACCATCGCCAGCAATTTCCTTGACTTCAAGGTTTAAGAGCGCATTATCAAGAGCACGGCCCATGAGAAACTCGAGTGATAAATAGTAAACACGCTTGGGGTCATCCGTGGTGTGTTTTTGCTGAGTCTTGTTCCAAGCAACAACAAGGCGGTCACGAATGGCCTGCGAAGCAGCCTGATAAGCAGCTAGTTCGTCGCAATTGAACAGAGAGCGAGCCAATGTGGTTTCAACATGACGCACAAACTCAGCTTGAAAGTCTTCCTTGCCTTTAAACTCACCAACTGCATATTTTTTCCATGTGTTACGGAATTCTACTGGGACTGTGGAGTCAATTGTTTTGAGCTCCTTGGGGGTCAAACCAGTGTAAGTTCTTTTGAATCTGCGAGGGATAGGATAGCTGAGCTCATCGTCGTCATCGTATAATGGGTCAGCGTACTTTTTATTGAAAAAAGACATTGGTAATGAGAAATTAAAAATTTAAGTTGAAAATAAAGTATAAATTGAAGTGTATATATAAAAAAAAAATATTGATATATATCGAATTGATAAAACAAAATTGAAGAAAGAAAAATGATGGGGATAAAAGGTTTTTTTTATGGGGTTAAGAATGAAGTTGGTTATCTATATATATACATCACAAAGGAACCTTCAAAAAAAAAAAAAAATCATGCGGTTTTAAATATGGGCGAAGGCAATGGGCAACCTCAATGATAACACGCACTAAGGTTGTGGTAAAATAAAACGTGCATCACCAATAGGAACAAACATTGATTAAAAATCCTATTAAAAAAAACTGTACATTATAAAGAACCATTTAAGATATCGTACAATGATGCCTTAGCTGTATTTAAAATAAATAGCTTCGATAAAACGTGAAGAAAAATAAGATGCAGCCATTAATTAAAGATTCGGTCCGAACCAAGAAAGTGATTGTTTTCAATTAATGTTGAAGCCAAAATTAAAAGTTTATTATGAAAATGAAAAGGTATATAGTATGGACAAGAAGGATAGCGCTGTTATATAATTCTATAACCCTTGAATAAAAACAAACAAACAATTGTTTTCAATTAGTTAGTATATATACTGTATATATAAATAAAGAAATGAATAAATAAATATTGAAGTGATTCATTTGTTTATTTTTAATTATTGAAAATCAAATATTGGAACTTATGGTATTGCCGACCCCATTATTCAGCTTTAGAATTGGAGAATTATTTAATCTTGCTTAAAAATTGTTAACAAACTATTAGTTTGTTGAAAATATCTAATTAACATACACTTCTAAGTGTATGTTAAATTATTTGAGCCGCCATTTTATATATATATATATACTAAGTATCCTGGAAAAAAGCAAATTAAATGATTTCTTTTGTTCTGCGTCTTAGTCAAAACAATGCGAATTTATGATTATAAATAATTAAATATTTTTATTAAACTAAATTTTCATTAATACAAAATTTTTATGTAAATACATTAAAGGGTTGTTCGTTAGAATCAATAAATAAACACATTAAATAGAAATCCCTGTTTAAACAAGGAGGATGCAGGAAATGAATGAGCCAACAAGGACAGCAAGGCTGACCGAGACAGCAGAACCACCGTTGACTTGCTCAATGGTGGAAGTGGAGGAAGGTGAAGACACCTGAGGAACGGCGTATGATGGAGCCGAAGCAGAAGGTGAAAGGGTGGTGCCGGCGGAAGGAGCAGCACCGGATGGAACAGTGCTAGATGGAACAGCACCGGAAGGAGCAGCACTGGAAGGAGCAGCACCGGAAGGAGCAGCACTGGAAGGAGCAGCACTGGAAGGAGCAGCACCGGAAGGAGCAGCACTGGAAGGAGCAGCACTGGAAGGAGCAGCACCGGAAGGAGCAGCACTGGAAGGAGCAGCACCGGAAGGAGCAGCACCGGAAGGAGCAGCACTGGAAGGAGCAGCACTGGAAGGAGCAGCACTGGAAGGAGCAGCACTGGAGGGAACAGCGCTAGATGAAGCAGCACCGGTAGGAGCAGAGGGAGCAGCTGAAGTAGCAGTAGTCTCACCAGAGCCAGCTGGGGCGGACACAGAAGTGCTGTAGACTGTCTCGCAAGGAACGACAACGGTAACGGTAACGCCCTCAGAAACGGTGGTAATAGTGGAGTAGATGGTAGAAACGGCAGATCCAGAACCAGAGCCAGAGCCAGAGCCAGAGCCAGAGCCAGAGCCAGAGCCAGAGCCAGAGCCAGAGCCAGAACCAGATCCAGATCCAGATCCAGATCCAGATCCAGAACCAGAGCCAGAGCCAGAGCCAGAGCCAGAGCCAGAAACGGTAGGAACTGTGGTAGTAATAACTTCACCAGAACCGTTGGTAGTAGTGACAGTAGCAACACCTGAGCCAGATCCAGAGCCGGAGCCGGAGCTAGAGACGGAGCCAAGAGTTGAAGTGATAGTGATAGTAGAAACAGCACCCTCAGAGCCAGAGCCAGAGCCAGAGCCAGAGCCAGATCCAGATCCAGATCCAGATCCAGAGCCGGCAGGGATTGTAGTAGTAATAACTTCACCGGCACCGTTGGTAGTGGTAATAGTGGCAACACCAGAGTTGGAATCAGGAGTAACGGTGGAGCAAGGTTCAGTGACAGTGACAGTGACACCATTGCTGACAGCAGTGTAAGTAGTGTAAAGAGTGTAGATACCGGAGCCAGAACCAGACCCAGAACCAGACCCAGATCCGGAGCCAGAGCCAGAGCCAGAGCCAGAGCCAGAGCCAGAGCCAGAGCCAGAGCCAGAGCCAGAGCCAGAGCCAGAGCCAGAGCCAGAGCCAGAGCCAGAGCCAGAGCCAGAGCCAGAGCCGGCAGGGACTGTGGTAGTAATAACTTCACCAGCACCGTTGGTAGTAGTAACAGTGACAACACCTGAACCTGAACCAGAACCAGAACCAGAACCGGCAGGGACAGTGGTAGTAATAACTTCACCAGCACCGTTGGTAGTAGTAATGGTGACAACGCCAGAACCAGATCCAGAGCCGGCAGGAACAGTAGTAGTAATAACTTCACCGGATTCATTGGTAGTAGTAACAGTGACAACACCTGAACCTGAACCAGAACCTGAACCAGAGCCGGAACCAGAACCAGAGCCAGCAGGGACTGTGGTAGTAATAACTTCACCAGCACCGTTGGTAGTAGTAATGGTGACAACGCCAGAACCAGATCCAGAGCCGGCAGGAACAGTAGTAGTAATAACTTCACCGGATTCATTGGTAGTAGTAACAGTGACAACACCTGAACCTGAACCAGAACCTGAACCAGAGCCGGAACCAGAACCAGAGCCAGCAGGGACTGTGGTAGTAATAACTTCACCAGCACCGTTGGTAGTAGTAACAGTGACAACACCTGAACCTGAACCAGAACCAGAACCAGAACCGGCAGGGACAGTGGTAGTAATAACTTCACCAGCACCGTTGGTAGTAGTAATGGTGACAACGCCAGAACCAGATCCAGAGCCGGCAGGAACAGTAGTAGTAATAACTTCACCGGATTCATTGGTAGTAGTAACAGTGACAACACCTGAACCTGAACCTGAACCTGAACCTGAGCCGGAACCAGAACCAGAGCCAGCAGGGACTGTGGTAGTAATAACTTCACCAGCACCGTTGGTAGTAGTAACAGTGACAACACCAGAGCCGGAACCAGGAGTAACGGTGGAGCAAGGTTCAGTTACAGTGACGGTGACACCATTGCTGACAGTAGTATAGGTAGTGTAAAGGGTGTAGACACCAGAACCGGAACCGGAACCAGAGCCAGCAGGAACAGTAGTGGTAATAACTTCACCGGATTCATTGGTAGTAGTGACAGTGACAACACCAGAACCAGAACCAGAATCAGAGTCAGAGCCACGTGTAGTGGTGACAGTGACAACAGCGGACTCAGTGATAGTAGTGACGTAAGTAGACTCAGAAGGCTCAGTGACAGTGACAGTAACTTCATCAACAAGAGTAGTGTAAGTGCTGGTATAAGTGTTGGTAATAGTTGAAGTAATAGTCTTAACAACGCTACTTGTAGTTGTGATAACCTCAGGAGCACTAGTGGTTTCCTGAGTATAGATAGTAGTAGTGTAGGTGGTAGTAACTGGCTTGGTAACAGTAGTGGAAGTACTAGCCTCAGATGTAACGTAAGTAGTAGTATAAGTTGAAGTGACGGTGACAACAATACCGGACTCAGAAGCGATTTCAGAAGACTCAATCGGAACGACAGTCTCAGAAACGGCTTCAACTGAGGAGGCGGAAACTGAAACGACCTCAGAGATAACATCAGAGGAAACAACAGGAGCAACAGAGGACTCGATAGAAGCAACAGACTCAGAGACGGAAACGACAACGGTCTCAGAAACCTCAGCAGAGGTAGAAGACTCAGAGACAGACTCAGCAGAAGTGGACTCAGAAACCTCAACAGCAGTAGAAGACTCGGAAACAGACTCAGCAGAAGTGGATTCGGAAACAGACTCAGCAGAAGTGGATTCGGAAACAGACTCAGCAGAAGTAGATTCGGAAACAGTCTCAACGGCAGTAGAAGACTCGGAAACAGTCTCAACAGCAGAAGTGGATTCGGAAACAGACTCAGCAGAAGTGGATTCAGAAACAGACTCGACAGAAGTAGATTCAGAAACAGACTCGACAGAAGTAGACTCGGAAACAGACTCAACAGCAGTAGAAGATTCGGAAACAGACTCGGCAGATGTAGACTCAGAAACCTCAACAGCAGTAGAAGACTCAGAGACAGATTCGGCAGAAGTAGATTCAGAAACAGACTCAGCAGAAGTGGATTCAGAAGCCTCAACAGCAGTAGAAGACTCGGAAACAGACTCAGCAGAAGTAGATTCGGAAACAGACTCGGTAGAAGTGGACTCAGAAACAGACTCGGCAGAAGTGGACTCGGAAACAGACTCAACAGAGGTAGATTCGGAAACAGACTCAGCAGAGGTAGATTCGGAAACAGACTCAGCAGAGGTAGATTCGGAAACAGACTCGGCAGAAGTAGAAAACTCGGAAACAGACTCGGTAGAAGTGGACTCAGAAACCTCAACAGCAGAAGATTCAGAAACAGACTCGGCAGAAGTGGACTCGGAAACAGACTCAGCAGAAGTAGATTCGGAATCAGACTCAACAGATGACTCGGTGGTAGAAGTTGTCTCAGGGACAACAGGGACAATCCAGTAAGAAGTGGAAGTAGCAGTGGGGACACCATTGGAGTCAGTCAAAACAACTTCAGAGGCCGAAGTGGTAAAAGAGGTAGTTTCGGGAACAACAGGGACGATCCAGTAAGAAGTGGAAGTAGCAGTGGGGACACCATTGGAGTCAGTCAAAACAACTTCAGAGGCCGAAGTGGTATAAGAAGTAGTTTCGGGGACAACAGGAACAAGCCAGTAAGAAGTGGAAGTAGCAGTGGGGACACCATTGGAGTCAGTCAAGATAATTTCAGAGGCAGTAGTTGTGGAAGAAGTAACTGGAGAACCACCAGCAGGGACAAGCCAGTAAGACCAGTAAGTGGCAGTGGGATTACCAGCAGCATCAGTAGCAGTCACCAGACTGGAAGAGGTAACTGAATCAGTGCCAGTAGCAACAGGGACGATCCAATAAGACCAGTAAGTGGCAGTGGGATTACCGGCAGCATCAGTGGCGGTGACGAGAGAAGAAATGGTAGATTCAGTGGCAGTAGCACCAGATCCAGAACCACCAGCAGGGACAAGCCAGTAAGACCAGTAAGTGGCAGTGGGATTACCAGCAGCATCAGTAGCAGTCACCAGACTGGAAGAGGTAACTGAACCAGTGCCAGTAGCAACAGGGACGATCCAATAAGACCAGTAAGTGGCAGTGGGATTACCGGCAGCATCAGTGGCGGTGACGAGAGAAGAAATGGTAGATTCAGTGGCAGTAGCACCAGATCCAGAACCACCAGCAGGGACAAGCCAGTAAGACCAGTAAGTGGCAGTGGGATTACCAGCAGCATCAGTAGCAGTCACCAGACTGGAAGAGGTAACTGAACCAGTGCCAGTAGCAACAGGGACGATCCAATAAGACCAGTAAGTGGCAGTGGGATTACCGGCAGCATCAGTGGCGGTGACGAGAGAAGAAATGGTAGATTCAGTGGCAGTAGCACCAGATCCAGAACCACCAGCAGGGACAAGCCAGTAAGACCAGTAAGTGGCAGTGGGATTACCAGCAGCATCAGTAGCAGTCACCAGACTGGAAGAAGTGACTGAACCAGTGCCAGTAGCAACTGGGACAATCCAGTAAGACCAGTAAGTGGCAGTGGGGTCACCGTTAGCATTAGTGGCAGTGATGAGTGAGGAGAGGGTAGATTCAGTGGCAGTAGCACCAGATCCAGAACCACCAACAGGGACAAGCCAGTAAGACCAGTAAGTGGCAGTGGGATTACCAGCAGCATCAGTAGCAGTCACCAGACTGGAAGAAGTGACTGAACCAGTGCCAGTAGCAACTGGGACAATCCAGTAAGACCAGTAAGTGGCAGTGGGGTCACCGTTAGCATTAGTGGCAGTGATGAGTGAGGAGAGAGTAGATTCAGTGCCGGAGCCAGAACCGGAACCGGAACCGGAGCCACCAGTAGCTGTAGAACCAGCAAGCCAGTAAGACCAGTAAGTAGACGTCCATGAACCATCGGCAGCAGTAGCAGTAATAAGTGAAGAAAGAGTAGAGCCATCGCCAGAACCGGAACCGGAACCGGAACCACCAGTAGCGGTAGAACCAGCAAGCCAGTAAGACCAGTAAGTAGACGTCCATGAACCATCGGCAGCAGTAGCAGTAATAAGTGAAGAAAGAGTAGAGCCATCGCCAGAACCGGAACCGGAACCGGAACCACCAGTAGCGGTAGAACCAGCAAGCCAGTAAGACCAGTAAGTAGAAGTCCATGAACCGTCGGCAGCGGTAGCAGTAATAAGTGAAGAAAGAGTAGAGCCATCACCGGAACCAGAGCCAGAGCCAGAACCACCAGTAGCGGTAGAACCAGCAAGCCAGTAAGACCAGTAAGTAGAAGTCCATGAACCGTCGGCAGCGGTAGCAGTAATAAGTGAAGAAAGAGTAGAGCCATCACCGGAACCAGAGCCAGATCCAGAACCACCAGTAGCAGTAGAACCAGCAAGCCAGTAAGACCAGTAAGTAGAAGTCCATGAACCATCGGCAGCGGTAGCAGTGACAAGTGAAGAAAGAGTAGAGCCATCACCGGAACCAGAGCCAGAACCAGAACCACCAGTAGCGGTAGAACCAGCAAGCCAGTAAGACCAGTAAGTAGAAGTCCATGAACCATCGGCAGCGGTAGCAGTGACAAGTGAAGAAAGAGTAGAGCCGTCACCAGAGCCAGAACCGGAACCGGAACCACCAGTAGCTGTAGCTGTAGATCCAGCAAGCCAGAAAGACCAGTATGTAGAAGTCCATGAACCATCTGCGGCTGTGGCTGTGACAATGGTGGAAAGGGTTGAATCTTCGGCTCTCTTTTCAAGTTCAGGAGCGAGAGCCTCAGGTTGGATGGCAGCACCCAAGGCACTTCCAGCCAGAGCTGGAAGCATGAAAAGGCTAAATTTCATTTTTTTAAGGACTTAAATGGTACTTGAGTTAGTATATAAAGTTGAGGCTTTTGACTTGTGTTGTGTTGAATATTATGCTGGCATACCTGAAATTCACCGAGAATTTATCTTCTGAGAGGAATTACTGAAGGTCAGAAAAAAACTTTAAATTAAAATCTTGATGAATTGAATCAACCTACCTAAATGCAGAAGTAGATTAGGGGTGTTTGTGTTTAGTAGAAAGAAAAGCTATTTGTTTAAAAACGAATGACTTTGGTAGCTTTCTCTAAAAGATTGAATAGTGATTTAAGTCAAAAACTTGATGATATTATTTTTTTTTTTTGGAAATGTCAGAAATTGAAGTGGTATTTATATCTTTGGAATAAAAAACTATTTAAAGAATTAGATATATACAAGGCTTATATTTGGTTTTGTTAACCAGATTGTATGAAAAAAAAAACACGGCGTTATAGATTGAATATTCGTTCGTCATTTTTTTATTTTTTGCAACTTTTATTATTAAATTACCAAGTGTGTCTTTTTTTTTTCCAACAAAATATAATTTTTAAAAGTTCCAAAAGGCACTATTGTTGAATCCAAAAAAACGGCTAAATACGATTTCTTTTTTCAAGCTATAAGAGGTTGCTATTATAACCTCGGAGAAACATTATTGTTTAGCTCATAACCCTCTTTTATCGTTTCAGTAAATTTTCTTCATCCAACTCTATGCAATCTCTCATCGTAAACACTTCAGGACCTAATACGCCATGTCTATAAATGTGATATAGAGAGTTACTTTTGTACGCCTCACACCAAAGTTCCATGGTTATGATTTATTGCTTAGATAAAAATAAAAAAATCTATATCTGTTTTTTTTTTTTTTTCTTTTCTTCAACAGGGTTCATTTCTGTTTTCCCAAGAAACCTCTCTGTTATCTATGAAAATGTCTTCATTCAAAAGTTTATTGTCAACGTAACTTATTAGGTTTGTATTCCCTTTGTCATCATACGAATATAATAATAACATTGACCTTGGCGATATTGGGTAAAAGTATAATTACCTACCTCAATAAAAAACAACAAATGCACTCTATTGACGCTATCTTGAGTTAAAGACTTGTTAATGAAATTGAAGATTTTCAATTGAGTATAATAATATGTAATTATTTTTTTTAAACGTATCATTATGGTTTACTTAAAATGAATCTCATTTTTCTTAACTTTTTCCCTTTTTTTTTTCAAAAATTCAATCCAAAGGTAATAATACAGTATCATTATTAATTCGTCTCAGACTTTTATATTATTTTATATCATTTAGAATAACTCATCTGTTGTTTAGACACCCGTTGTCTCTATTTTTTGTTCAAATTAATTTCTTTGAAGATCTTGAAGTCAAAATTAAAATTAAAAATATATATATCTTTAAAAACCTTTTCCAAGGTGTGTTTCTCAATTGGAATTACATTGTGCATGTGCACTGGCCATGATGGTCTTCGCGAAGACCATGCGAATTCGCTAACTGGAAGAAAAGAAAAAAACCAAATGTGAAAGTGCAAAGACAAAATTGAAAGAAAGAAAGAAAAAATTGTTGTCCACCATAAACCATTTGGCAGTGTAGAAAAGACAGCAAAACAGCTTTTGTGGGGGGTCACCAAATCGCTTCTCAGGGTACTTGCAGAACAGATTGCTTGGTGATAAGGAAGGTGTGCAGCAAAATGTTGAAATAAATATATACATATATATTAAATCATTGACAAAAAAAAAAGTATATCACTGTTATTTAAATCGTATAACATTTTTTTTTATAAATCTTTTGATATTTTGCTCAAGACTTTATTCCATCCAACTGGCCCTAGAAAACAAATATAGACTTGTACGCACGAGATTTTTTTTTTTTGTTTCTGCTCCCTTTTTTTTTTAACAGAACGTCCTTTAAAAAAAAGGGGCCCTTAATATATATTTGCTCTACTTTGGAATCTAGAATTGAAAGCTTACAAAATCTCGTCCAATCTAATTTTTTTTTTTGGTTGAGGAAGGTGTAAACTCTCCAGAGCCCACGCCATCTTACTTGTTGAGAAAATCTCTGGTTACCTTGTCTAATAACAAGACTATGAATTATTTTTTTTTTTAATTTTTATGTTTGGAATTTAAACAAACATTGAATAAAAGTATATTGGCATATTTTTTAATTGAAAATATATATAATTATATATATGTTATTATAATAAAAAAATAAGTGTGAAGGCGTCTAAAAACCGAAAACCCAGGTAAAAATATCAAAAATTGAATCAAATTCAAACAATAAAAAAATAATAATTAAGCAAAGTTGCATTCAAAACTCTTTTTAAAAAAGACCGCCTTATGATATCTCAAGTAGATTCCAAGAGATATCTTTATCCATAATATTTGAAAAAAAATTGTAGTAGAGTTCATAGTAATGATAAGCACAGAGAATGTTATTCTCGTACTTGTTTGTAAGTGGATATAGTAGGGGTATATTAATTTTTTTTTATTAGGCCTCAAAAACCAAGATTGTTTTTGGATCTGGTTCTTCATCTTGAAAACGTATGTTTTGCAATTTTTCAAAACAAAATCAACCGCTAAAGGACTTTTAAGCCGCACATAACAATTGGATATCCCAAATGAAAATTCTTTTGACTAGAACCCAACATTTATTTTTAAAAAAAAAATAAAATTGGAACAGGACCCTAAAACTTAAGAAGAAAAATGGGAATGGAAATGTTAATGTAGCCAAAATCATAAGAAAAAAAAAAGTTATCTTGTTTCATGGAATTCTTTAAGAAAATTTCCCAGCCCTCCTTTTTTTTTATATTTTTAACAGTCACCAACATGTGTATTTCAAAGTCAATCACATGCCTATATCAAGCCACCGTTACATATGCACATAGTAGAGACAACGGAAATTCAAGAAATTAAAGAACTGCAAGTTTCAACACAGGGTCAACAAGGATCTAGAACTTGAGAAAAAGCCGAGGTTAAGGATATGTTTTTAATGGATGGGGACAATGGCGTAAAAAAATAAGAAAAAAAAAGATGCAAATGTACTGGAAAGAAAATGGAAAGGCGATTAAGATATGAATATTAATGTATAACACCATTGGACCAATACATTTCTAATTACCTATTATAATACTAGGCCCTGTATTTTTACGAGGATTTCTGGAACAAGAAGACATTACTCGCACAATTCCAAATTTGTCGATTGAAGCTGGATAAATGTTTTGGAAAAGATGCATTTTAATGTTTGAGTGATTTATTAATAAATTTCCATAATTATGATTAAAGAGGAGGAAAAAAAATGTGCTTTAGCCATAGTTCGGCCCGGATGAAAAAATATATACACGAATTGTTGGAACGATGATGAGATGAGAAGTTGATTTAAAAAAGGTCGAGTACATTCAAGGAATTGGCCTTCTTTTTTTATTGTTTATGAAGAAACAGAGGAAACAAATAAGTATATTACCTAAATCTAAAGACACAAATTTATAAAATTAAGAAAACCTATGATGTTTTTTGATAGGGTCTGGTTACTACAATGACTGAGAAAACAAACATTTTTTTTATCTTTAGATGGAAAACAGAAACCCCCCTTACTTTGAAAAAAAAAAATGGAACATGAAACTATGCTTACATATATGTTGGAATTAGAAGTACTAGATATTGTGGACAAAAACATAAATCTTTATTTTCTATGAACCCTCAACTTAAGTATGACTATTAAGCTTGTATGAATTTCTATGATAATGATGAAGATGAAGGTACCAATATATTATAAAAACTGTAGGCTTATTATTATTGAGATTATTTTTTTTTGGAGTACTAAGTTGGACCCCTCTTTGAAATACTAAAGGAGAACCTTCATCGATATATCAAAAACGGGTTCAATTTTATTGAAATGCTTTTATCCTTCTTTCTCTTTTCCATTTTGAGAGGTACAAGATTACGGGAACTGACCTTTAACCCTCCAAATTGGGTTTTTCTTAGGATTCAAAAAGAAAAAAAAAGGTCCCATTAAATTAAAAAATAAATATAAAAAAGGCTTACATTAAAAGATTTTTTGATGGTAAGTATTTTATTTATTCATGTTAATTATTTTACAAAATAAAGATTTTAATATAATTATTTTTTTCCTCAAGTTTTTGTTTCCCCTCTCCCTTTTACAGTGATAAAGATATGATAACCATAAAAGCAATACCATTATGTTTGGTGTTAATTCAAAATATCTTTGAATCTAATTATATTTTCTTATAAAGTAAAAAAATATTCATGATGATCACCAATCATTGGTATAAAAAATAATTTGTTTTCTGTAACCTTAATAAGTTAAAAATCCATTCAAAATAAAAAATTAAACAAATATTTATATTTTTCTAGCAGATGGTTTAGCACCAGAAATTTTTATTTTAGAATTTCCTAACCTCAAACTAGTTAACGGTAAAATTCACCTGCTGCTCAAATCCTTTAAAGTTTTATGCTTATAAGACTTAAACGAGACTAAGGGAATTGATGGGCTTGAATCTACAAAAGCTTATTTTTTTTAATTGGTTCTAAAAGTCCGTTTACATTTATATTCAAATATTTTTAGTGGTGTATTTATTGAAAATCTCATTTTTTTTTTGAATGTCAAAAACGAACAAATATTAAAAAAAAAAAAAAAAGCAATTGCCTTACAAAGATTTGTCTGAGTTGTAAATATCGGTTAAGTGTCGGACGTTTTCCTTTTTTCAATTTTTTTTTATCTTGTTGATTTTTGATATGAATTTTGTGTTACCTCAGATTTTATTATCATTTATGGATACATATATATATGTATAAAAATTGACCTTGTTCTATTATTGCATGAACATTTGCTTAATTAACCTCATAAAGGAAAATTAAAAAAAAAGGGCTGTTTAGTAAGAAAGAATCTTGGTGACAATAGCATCCTGCCATTCAATCCCTTTCATTGTATCACCTGTGATGTGATGCACTATTCATAATATACCTTGTGCATGTGCTGAC